CATAGGTAAACGCACACTCACACAAAAACTATAGTCATTCATGTGAAGCGTGAGAACACGAGGGTATGCATCCATCTCTTTGCAAACAACACGAGGCACAGGGCTTACGATTAATGTCACAGGGCACTTCTGAATATGGATCTGCATGCACATGTGAGAGGGTGCACACATAAAAAAATGTAACAAGCATTACACATTACTTTGCTCTTTTTTTCTTTTTACTTTTATCCACTTGCATGACAATGGGATGGAGCGGTTAAATTGACTTTTTACAATGAATCTTCGAGTGTTGTATGTTTTTGTATTTACATCCTTGGTTATGGCCAAAATAAGCTGTAAATGAAAAAAACAAAACAAAACACAAAACATAGAAAAATACATAACATAGTATTGCACCTTGCAGATGGGCAATATATATATTCTCAGTTTTGTTGGTTGTTTTGTAACATCTATGTGACACCACTATCCTCTCTGCTGGTGTGTGGAAGTTAGGTTGTGGGTGCCGGGGTCAGGTCCAGCCCCTCCTGTCAGCTACATTCAATTCCATAAAACACTCAGCTATTACAGAAGTCAATCCCTCAGTCTCTGGGCCATTCACATTTTAGGTTTACCGTCTAAAGACTGTGCCTTTAAGGTGGAGAAGTGCTCACGTTGGCAGCGCTCAGAGCTGATGTCTCGACATTTTCTTGAGTTTAAGTTGCACCTCCTGTCATTCGAGAACCAAATCAATAAGGTAGAGGGCACCAAAGCTTGAGGGAAGAGTCCTTTTGTAACTTACACTGATGCGTACACAAGCACATATTATCTCGACATGTACACTTTTTTAAAATCTATATATGCATCTCTGAACTTTCACATGTGCCTGCAAAATATGACTCCTCCCAAGTTCCTTTGTGTCTTGTGTTGTGTGAGGTATGACAAGATTGTGTTTCAGTTTTTTTTGTTTTTTTTTTGTATTTTCAGTTTTTGTTGCATTATTTTTTTTCTATTTGTTTTTTTTTCTTTCCTCCAAAGATGTATTTCATTAAAAAAAAAAAGGAACAAAATAATATAAAAAAAATTCCTGGGTTTTTTTGTTGGTTGTAAATTTCCTCCTGATAAAAGGGACGGACAACTGGACAGACACGGGGACAGGGACAAACAGATCAGTTGGCTTACAAATACAAACTATAGACGTGAAAAAGAAGTGAAATATGTTACACTGCACACATGGTCAAAAAGTGACAACAGCTGTTTTGTTTTTCTTTTACACAGAGCAGTTGAAGGGTCAAAAAAAACAAACAAACAGAAATATAAGAAAACAATGATAAAATGAAAAAAAAAAATCTCCAATAATTTTGTTCCGGAGTCTTTTTTTTTTTTTAAAGTCATCTTTTTTTTTTCATATTGTTTGACGGATGTAAAATCCTTTTCATATATCTTTTGTTTTCTTAATCTACATCAGACTCAGAAGGTAAAAAGCAGCATTATAACCCCTACTGTCACACGCACATACCCAGTCAGCTCACAAAAACAAAGGCCGTCGATTTCTTTATCGGTTCTTTTACAAAGATGTGTTGGAATCCCAAACCTGCATCTCAGGAATGCGGGATCTGTCTTCCTGATCCTCACAATCTGAACGTTGGAGGTAATCCTTACAGTGGGAGCTGAGGGAGGACATTTGGGGTCGTCAGCTGGCACGGGAGCGGGGGTTTGCGTGGGGCTGCGTGGGAGCCGAAGGGGACATCTGCCCTTCCTCCCTGTGTTTGACGACATTGTCTCTGCAACCAGCCACATCACCCCCTCTCGCCCATGTCAATGATGGCAGTGAGAGTTGGGGCCCTCAGCTTTTTTTGTTTGTTTGTTTCTTTGTTTCCTGTCCTTTCTTCTTCTCTTGCATCACGCATTCTCACATCCAGTCTCTCGTCCCTGCTGCTTTGTCGGTCACATTCAATGGTGGCGCCACTCTAAAAGGGCAGTTATGGCCAGCCTTGTTCACAAGGCCTGGATCCTGTTTGGTGTGAATGAATCTGGACAAAACTGGGTATGAACTGCTCAGCGGTGACAGCTAGGATGCTTTGGGTAAAGGAGAGGATTTTCAGTGTTCAGAAGAGGGCTTAAAGTGAACTTTGAGTGGGCTCTAGTATGGGACAGTGAGTACTACACGGATAAAGAGAAAGCCTCCTATGGAGGGATCTCTGCCACTGCTTTTGGGCTGTTTTGGCTCTACTGGTGTAAATGCTGACAACAGGACAGGTTAGGGCCAAGCCCACTGCAAGTGCAAAGGCCCAGTTTAAACAGAGCAGTTCAGGATACCCATTTGTGGTCAATTTTAATTGGGGAAACTAACCCGAAAAGGAGAGTTTATGGGGTGTTGCATTAGTGCAAAAACTCCCACCAGCTGGCTGAGTGGGGTCTGTTATCATATTGATGGCAGAGGGGGGGTTAGACTTGAGCTAGGCTCCAGAAAGGGCAGTGTCACGGACTGGACAAGAGGAGGGTAGAAAAGAAAAGAGTGGGGATGGATCTCTAGAGGGTGGTGATGCACTTTAGGAAGAGTCAAACCAGACTCCACCGCTGTGCCCAAGATGGGTTCCAGTTCCTCTCCCCTCCCAACTGCACTCAAGCTCTGAGGAGGTGTGGATAACCCATCCTGTGCATGTGCCCAGTATAAACTGCTTGGTATTGGATAGAAAATAAACTAGATTTCTTTCAACCAGTGAGATTTGGCTTGGCCCAGAATTGGATTGAACAGAGTGAGCTTTTGAAATCAAATCAAACACTCTTGTATGGTCATTTGGAGGGTAAACTTGTCATATCTGCCATGGATGTTTGAGCTGAGATATTACTGCTATAGTAGTGAGCGTTGGGGAGCTAGAAGTGCGATTGAGTTGCTTGTGAGGAGGCTTCACTCCATCATTTTTTATGTCAAACACACTGCCCATGCATGACAGAAAGCTGAAATTTTCCATGAAAATATTTACCAAGCTCCAGTGGCAGCTATCGTAAGTGTAGCGTGGTACGTCATCACCACATGCTGATTTGACGGGCGTGGCCACCTTGACTTTTCAGTTACTCCGTGTAATCGTTCCTCTTGCTGCTTTTTGCTTTAATGGGCTGCACATCCCACGCTGTCCTTCGTTGCTTCTGCGAGCCGGTTTCTGTCTTTAGAGAAACTGGTAAATCCAAATTTGAAAAGATGACACTTGGTCCCACTTGATAAAAAAAGAAAAAGAAAAGAAGAAGAGATAACCGAATGTTATGGGTACCACCCCTGGAAGGGGGTAAAACCTTCCAGGGGGATGGTTGGCCCTCCTGTCTTCAGTGGTATTTCATTTGAACCAAGTGACAGCGCTGTGTGTATGTGTGTATTCTGTGAGTGTTTTAGTCTTTCCATGACTACGAGTGTGCACCTATGCAAAAAGCTATGCACATCTGTGTATCATTCTACACATACTCCAACTCGAATGGTGTATGTCTGTGTGTAGGCTGTGGGCAGCTGCCCTGTGTCCACAGAGGTGAGGTAGTGCCTGACACCACAGGGGCAGTAATGCTGCCCCAGCCTAGGGTGTGTCCACTTTGAGGTAAATGGTAGCCTTCTTGGCATTTGCCTGCTCTCAGTGACCTCCCATGGTAAAAAAATAAAATAAAAAAAAAAAGAATAAAATAACCAAGAAACAAGAAAAAAAACAAACAAACAGAAGGCAAATGTGTATGGAAGCCTGGAGGGGCACACTGAGTTGAGCCCACGATAAGAGGACTCTGTACAAACCCTGCAGGTTAGGGCTGTATATCAACACTGCCGTGCAGTGCATTCAGTAAAATGAGGCATTCACGTTACTCTGAGGTGATGTGTGTTTTCGTGTGTGTGTGAGAGAGTTAAAAAGACAAAAAGAGAGTCAGTGTGTATGTGATGAGGCCTGCCGTCTTGCTGGTGTTTGCTGCTATTCAGAGCCTCCTCGGAGGTTGGGTGTGGGAGATTTACTTCTGAACTCTGGCTACAGTCCAGCTTTTTACGTTGTAATTCCTCTCTCTGTCCCTGCGCCTTCCTTTTCTCCCACCTCCCTCTAAGCATCTCCCTTCTCCTTCCCCTTCTTTTTCTCTTCCTTCCCTTCCTTCAATGCTGTAACTCTTCAGACAGAGAAGGGCTTACTTGTCATTCATAAGATGGTAGGCTGCTGGCACAAGCAGCATAGGCAATGACAAGGCAAGTCTGCTCGTGTGTGTGCGTATGTGTGTGTTGTACGTCACAGGAACCGGTCCAATGACAAAAATGAAAGTAGATATGAAGCCATGGTCTGTATGTTTTTCAAAGGTAGAGAACACAATTTCATAAACTGGAGTAGCCTTATATAAATATAGCACCGGTTTCACAGGGATATGAGAAGAACAAGCTCCAAAAACAGCTGTCATGGCTCAGATTGAGTTGAGTAATTGATAAGTGGTGTGGCTGCTCTGCTTTACTGCCGCCGTTATACACCACGGAAACGTTTACGTCTGCTGAAATTTTTATGTGCAGTGTCTGCTAAATTCGTGCGCCTGCATGACTGTGAGCAACAAGATGACACTACTGTCCATACTTTCTGAATCAATGCCTTAACACTTATTCAGAAATAATACTGAGAGGTGCTGGCCAGCTTTGACGCCGGAAACATGGGCTTCAAGACAAGTGTAAATCTGTGACCGCTACAATAAAACCAAGGAGGGGGAACTGACCCTCCAAAGAGTGCTGCCCTGAAGAACTGAGGTGGAACAGGCTGTGAGTGTGTGTGTGTGTGTGTGTGTGTGTGTCTGTGTGTGTTTGTGTCTTGGCAAATGGCTACAACTCTTACTAGATAAGACATCATGCTCAGACAGAAGGGCCCCCAAACAGATTTTAAAACAGGGGTTGGTATAAGGAGGAGAAAGAGGTGGAGAAGAGGGTGTTCACAAAACAAAATCCTCTGTTTGCTTCACTCTCCTGTTGCTGGTGTGTCGTTTCTGATATTGTTGTTTCCAGTTTTAAAACACATACTGTGAATGTGATGTCAGAGAAATGCAGATTCCTGCAGAGAGGATTCTCCCTCCATTCTTCCCCCACAAGCACGATGGACTAACCCATCTTCTGTTTCGCTCCAACTTTCTCTTCCCTTTGCGTGCCGGCAAGTGTGCCTCACACCTCCTGGTCCTCGAAGACCTCTAAGAAGAGCGGGGGAAGAGTTCGTTGGGACATTCCACCTTCATGTGAAGGAAGCGACTGGCGTGGCACGCCCCGATCATCCGCAGGTCCGTCACCTTCATCAGAAGCTTCGGCCAGAAGTGGGGAATGTTGTGCTTGCGGTAGTTGATGTAGTGCTCGAACCCAGCAGGTACGTCTCCTGGCACTTCTCGATCTTTTCCGTACAGGTCAGGCCTGAGCGATCTGCACAAAGCAAAGAAGGCGAGCGGGAAGAGGGAGCACAGATGGCGGTGGGGAGGGGGTTGGAGAAGAAATATGGGAAAAGGATAGAAGAAGGAGAAGGGAAAAGAGAACATATGGACAATGAGTACTACATAGTTGAAGATGTAAGAACTATAAATGTTAGCAATACTAAATAAGATGAGACCTGTTATCAAGCATCATGTCCAAGGTTCTTACTGCAAATAGCATTATATTATCATGGTGCCATCTGGGTGATTACAACCCAGAAAAAAATCCTAATTTTCCAGTTTATTAAACTTGGGAAAAATACAAGCGTTTAGTCTAGGAACATAAAAAAATTGACAAATATATATATTTGTCAATTTTTTAAATGTTTTTATGCTTCTAGACTAATTAATCTCTCTCTCATATATATATATATATATATATATATATATATATCAGTAAAAAAAAACAAAAACAACTTTAAATTATTTACGTTCATTCATCTATCCAATTTATCCCATTTATCCAGCTCAGGGGCGCTGCAGCCTATTTCAACTGTCATAGAGCTAAAGACTGGGTAGGCCCTGAAAGGGTGCCAGTCTATCACAGGGCCAACACATAGAGATAGACAACCATTCACACTCACACCTATGGCCAGTTTAGAAGTACTTTAACCATGCATGTTTTAGGAATGTGGGAGAAGGCCGGAATATCACTCAACAAAATGAAAAGAAATGACCACATAGATCCCAGCACCTTCTTGCTGTGAGCCGATGGTGCTAACCATGGGGCAGCAGCACCAAATATATATTCATATATTATTTATGTATATTTGCCATATTTTAAATAATTGGTGGATGCACTGAGAGAGACGAGGGCATCCCTCTTTTTTTGCATCCTACTATTTGAAAAAACTGCACTTTTGCGCATGTACGTAATAAATGTTCTACAATAAATAAACCAAGACTAGAGACATGCAAAGACTTATTCATCACATTTAAATTGAGCTCCCAACACTGAATAAGCATGTGGACATTTATCTTCAGACTATAATTAGATTTTGATTCAAAATAGGCTACATTGTATAATATGTAGAGTATCGAGTAATGATGTCTTTGTATTGCAACTGCAAGGCCAAAGGACACTAAAAATTTGCATTTAAATTGCATTAAATTCAAACTGATATATCACTAATAACATGTGCAACAAGTCCAGAGACTGCCATGTAGCTTTAAATATGTGGAATAAAGGTTTTAGCATTAACCTGAGCTCATGAGAAGCACGGCTTGCAAGAGCGCCACTTCCGTGTCGTCAAGGTTGAATTGTGCCAGGCTCTTGCCCAAATCAAAGATGGCGTCCGACACCACGCCCAGCCCGCCGTTCTTCAGTTGCTCCCGCTTCACAGCCATCTCCCCACTGAGCGTCAGCGTCTCGCTCTCCGGGTCGTAGCGCATGGCTGCGCGCAAGGACATGATCTCCATGCAGCAGCCCTTCAACAGGATGATCTGGTCTTCACAAGGCAGCTGGTGAATGAAAAACACGTTCGTTTTCATTTCCGAGCAAACATATTGTCATATTCTCAAAACAAAGCAAGTACGTAAAAAAGTTTATCTATGAAGCGCTTTTCACAGACAAGCGGTCACGCGAAAGGCTAAAAATAACGTGAACATTAAGTGCAAAAAAACCAAAAACAAAACGATTTAACAGGTTTTTTAAATAAATAAATAATCATTCAATAAAAGATACCACTATACTTTACATGCGTTTATGCTGAGTCACTATAATGGTCATCTGAAAGTTGATGTCCTTGTATGTTTTACCAAATTTATTATTAACCCATTTTACTGTATTTTATTTAGTTTACTGTATTTCAGAGAGCTGTGTTCCTTTATAAACCATTTTGCTGTATAATATCCATCCATCTGCTCATTATCTGGATCTAAAGGCTGGGGCAGCAGTCTGAGCAGAGATGCCCAGACCTCCTTTTCACCAGCTCTTCTTCCAGAAACACCAGAAGCCATCTGAGAGGTATATTCTCTGCAGTGAGCCCTGGTTTGCCCGGGGCCAACATTCCAGCTGAACATGCCAAAAACACCTCAACAAGGAGGTGTTCAGGAGACGTCCTAATCAGGTGCTCCAACCACTTCACCTAGCTCCTTTCAATGTGGAGGAATAGTGGCTCTAATCTGAGTCCATCCCAAATTACTGAGCTCCTCAGCCAATCTGGATCGCAGACACCCTTCAGTGGAAACTCAATTAAGCTGCTTGTATCATCTCATTTTATGGCCGATATCAACGGGTCGTAGTAATAAATAACTACAAAAATGAAGCAAGCTAACAAAAAAATGTCTTCTGCAGCATTATTTCAAACACTGGCATCTGTATACATCCATGGTTTCACAGCCGGTACTGCCCTGTAAACCTGCCATCCACAAACTGAATCTTTGACACCAATTTTTTATTTAATTCAGTAAGTTTCATAGAAAATGAGAAATATCTGCCCTTCAGTTGATTGCCTTAGTGCTCACACATTAGATATGACTCAGCTGCGTTGCTACCTTCCCACATCTTCGCCATTATCCAAGTGTCAATAAAGCAGTACAGCAAATAATGGCAGAGAGAATTTAGGTAAAGAGGATACTAAATAATAAATGAGAGCAAGGAAGGCAGAGAGACGTGCTAAAGAGGAAGGGATGGGAGGAGGAGAAATATGAAGATGGGCTGAAAATAGGCGTACCTCCCCCCCCACTGATGAACACAGATTATGACTAATACACCCTGATTTACATGGATATTAGAAACTCTGGGTTAAAACCTGTTCAATTAAATCTGCAGCCTCTGATGTGCTGAATTAATCGTACCTTGATGTAAGCTGGTTTCTTTCCTCATTGCTCTTGACTGCAGAGCAGATTAATTGACATTCACTGGCTTGATTTGTCTTGTAAATTTCTAACTAGGGGGCAGGCTTAAAAGTAAATGCCTAATAATGCAGTTAGTACTGCATCAATTTGTCAAAAGCAACAGATTAATTTTTACTGGCTAAATGAATGCTGGCTTTGTTTCTGTGGATTCTTATTAGTAATTTATTGCAGAGCCACGAACAGATCGCTTGTAAGCCAAACAATTCCCTCCCTCTGCCTCTTTAATCAGATTAAAATGGCTTCTTTTATAATAAAATGTTACAATGTGAGAAGAAGATAGGAAATTAAACATTGCTGATCATGTGCTTGTGTCTGGAATATTCAAACTTTAAATTTGTTATAGCTAACTAAGAGGAGTTTATCTATGCTCAGACACTGACTTGATTAGTAGTATCCATCATGATAGCGATTCTGTATAATAATTATACAATGCATTAAAATATGCTGATTAAAAAATAAAAAAGTGACATTTTCATAAACTCTAATAGATCACAGTAAAGACTTTTCCTCTTCTGTAATTCATCACGCAGCAGACTCACAGTCATACTGCTCTGTCACTACAGCTGTCCCGCTAGACAACAGTTCTGATACACCCTGATAATTATCCAATCACCCGAGGTCTCATTACAAGCAGCGCAGAAGGGAAACATGATTACATGCTGCTAAGTGAGGCAGGCCAAACAGGAGCAGGAATGCTTCACTAATTGTCAGAAACAAAGGCCGGTTATTTTGCAAACACTGCGATGCTTGAGGAAATAGTAAATGATCAGCACTTTCCTTGTGTGCTGGACTTTTCTGGTAACTGAAGCAATCTTGGTTTAGCTGTGGTAAATGAACAGTTTTGCCAATTTTGTGTTAATTCTGGCCTCCGCTGTGCTCTTCAGGTCAAATTAACCGCCACTCACCTCAGAGAACATGGGCAGTTTTTTGGCAAAGTCAACGACACGGGTGATGGCGGAGTGATGATCTTGGTGAACTCGCTGAAGGCCTCCAGGTCCACCTTGTCTCCGTCTGATGTTGGAGCGACTGGAGACTGGCCGATTTTCTCTGGCTAAATGGGGAAATAAATGTGGGCGGTTGATTAGTGCACAGAGGAAAAGTAAATTAGATATTAGTAAAGCAGAAAAGAATAAAACTGTTTCATCCATATATGATGAACCTAGTTTACAGCTCTGCAAAGTGAAGCCCAGGCTTCTAATGCCCAAGCAACTGCAAACCAGCCCTGAGGTCCCTCGATCTTTGACCTCAGTAAACACTTTCATGAATATTTTGGGTTCAGTTGCTGGTTTAACACCTATGTGCAACAAAATGCTGATTTTGTAAATTATGAGTCAGAAAACAAGGATAAAGTAGGGCTTACTAAACATGCACAATGTCACGATTGCTACCTACATCTTTTAAATGCAGTCAAAAGACTGAACTGACTGAACTGTGGGCCAGTTGCATTGTTTCAAATGCTTATAGTCAACAATTCCATAAAACATCAAAAACAACCACGCTCAGTGTTGTCCAAAGCCTATAATATCCTAAGTATCCAGTGGACAGTAGTTCAGTGCTTCTGTACCAATCGTGGAAACCAGTATGACTTAAGACAGGGGTGTCCAACTCCAGGCCCCAAGGCCCAGCGTCCGGCAGGTTTTAGATCTCACCTTGGGTCAGAACATCTGAATCAAATGATTAGTTCATTACCAGGCCTTTGGAGAACTTCAAGACATCTTGAGGAGGTAATTTAGCCATTTGAATCAGCTGTGATGGATCAAGGATGCATCTGAAACCTGCAGGACACCGGCCCTTGAGGCCTGGAGTTGGACACCCCTGACTTAAGAGGACACTGAGGAGGCCTGTGCAGGAGAGACTTTGGAACACACCCCTCATGTCTCTTTGACATTAAAGTGATGTCATTCATCAGCTTGATAGTTTAAAGCATGATCCTACACAAAATTACAAAATAAATGGAATGGAAATGTGCTGAGGATATCATGCGCTCGCAGTCAGATGTCCTAATCTGTGATCCACTTCTTGACTTAGAGAAAGCATCCCTCCTGTTTGTCTCTGCAGTCTAAGACAGACATTTTGCACTTTTATATCTGTGGCTACATTTGTCTATGTGTACTACGCATAGCCTTCTTTTAAAATAGCAAAGTGATTCGAGCCAACTCCCAGTCACAGCTGCTTGCCTTTCCAGTTCGTACGGTGTGTTGTTGTAGTTGAGCACCTCAGACAAAGTAGTAATATTATGGCCTTTTTATGGGATTTCTTTAAGGTGTTTCAGAACACAACATTTTTCTAAATGGTTGTTTTCCACAAAGTGCTGCAAATCAACGAACAGTTTTTCAGAGGACAGTGGAGTGTCCTTGGAGAAAGGACGGCGACATGTAATCAAACCGATAACACTTACTTAAAGGGAGACCGCCGATCACTAATATATATGTTTACAGAGTTGTTTGAATTGATGTTATGACTATGAAAAATATTGTTTCCCGCTCCAGTAAAGCATGTGTCAGGGACAGAGTCATTTATTCAGACTTTGCTCCGGCTATAAATGGGATGAGATAAAGTAGAGGAATAATCACTCGAACAAAGAGTCATCAATCATGATGCAGAGGAAGAAGGATTGCGTAAGTCAGTGCAAACACAGCCAGTCCTCTGCTGTGAGGCTGAAAGCTGGGCAATTATGGAAAATTCAAGTAGTTGTTATAATAACTTTGATGGACTGCAACTCTTGTCGTGCAAGAGCCAAAACAAAACATTGCTTTTGTTGGTGGAGGTCAGCGGCCATTTTCATGTCAGTATTGGGAAAACAGCTGTCGGGAGAGAGACGGGCAGATCTCTCGGGTTAGCTCTGTGTCACGATTCACAATGACACAGATGACAATGTAATATAGTCTTTAGCTCAATCATCCAGGATTAGTATTACCGGGGGACTTAATGTGATTTGGAAATGATCCCATCATGTCACTGTTCTGTGTGATGAATTTGTATGGCATAAGCAAAGTTTGTATTTCACTCAAATTTTCTACCATCATCCGCAGACTTGATTACAAATATTCATTAGGAAAAATGTCGCTCAGCTCACGCTGCCATTGATCCCATCTGATCATCCTTTTGGATTTTGCTTCTGATGGATTTCAGCCTGATTTTCTGTAAACTGTTCATCATGCTGTGTGGCAACATGAGTCATGAAATCGCACACAAATGCTGCTCCAAGCTTGCTGACGCAAACTCCTCTACTCAAATTCTCAAGCAGAAAAAGAGGCAGCAGAAAAACAAAAAACTTGGAAAGAAAAGAGCTCAAATCGCAGACGCTGACTCTCACAGGTCCTCTGGCAAAATATGTTATGTAATTCCCAGTGAAGTTTGCACAGGCACAAAAATACAATCGTTGCTGATTATTACACTTCACTAGTTAATACAAGTATAGGTAAAAGGTGAGTGCACAGACAGTGTAAAAAGAAGATGCTCTTTTCGATAGCCACTTGGAGGAGACCCAGGAGGCCGAAGACTTTGGGAAAACGTCCCTCAGCTCCTTTCTCAATGATCTTATGTGCTTTGTCACTTGCTAACATCAGCTGATGTCCCTCACTCTTAATGGGGACAAAAGAGAAGCACTTAAAGAAAGCAAGCAGGCTTTAGATCTGCTAAAATTACAATCTACTGTGCAATATTTGCAGCCTGTGCAGAAACCACCCCACATGATGGCAGCAGCAACAGACAGAGTTGGGGATGGTCTTCTCTTCTTTGAACCAATGCATCTGTAAAGGCAACACTCCACAGATCCCATCATCACTACCCGACTTCATGGGTACAATTTTATTTACACAAGAACACTTTTAAACTCTTTAATTACTCATTCGGACTTACCGACCTTTTTAAATTAAACATGACAAAGTAGACTTGATAGTTTGCCAAGTGCGTATTATGGAGGGGTGGCATCCAGTATCTTTAAATTAAAAGCGATTCAGTAAAGCTTGCTAATCAACAAAATGCAAATGCAGCCTTCAGTTCTTTGAATAAAGTTCATGCAGCATTGTTCTGCTCTGGCAGTGATACAGTTCACATTTTAAGAATCGCTCAACAGCATTTGTTTCGTGTATCTAGTTTGCAGGACTATTTTCCAAGTTTTAACCCAGCTATATGTGTGGTAGTGTATTTGGATTCATTCCTCAACTGTGTGTTAACACAATGCTACAGTCTTCCAGTGGCTGTTCATCCCAGGTCAGATGCGTGGTGTGCAATGCTCAAAGAAATTGCAAAAAAAAACCCCCAAAACAATCTGAAAATAAACAACAAATAAACACCAACATGGATGCTAAATGCTAAAGCTGATGACAGGACAATTAAAAAAAGCCTCCTCTCTGTAAAAAGGATAGAGCTGCAAGTCTGCAGAGCTGCATGTGAATAAAACACAAGAGTTCTATGAGACCAAAACGCTGATGTCTGGTCATTACGCACAGCGCCAGAATTGGTGAAACCAAATACAGCATACCAGCACAAACCCTCAAACCAACTGTCAGGGTGGTGGAGGAGGCCTGTTTTGCAACCACAAGACTTTCAGTAACTGAGTCGACCGCAGATTACTCTTGTATACCAAAAAGAGGTATACAAGAGTGAAGGCAGGTAGAGTTTGACCCAAACTAAGTCATGCTATATGACATGATCACAAGCGCAGCAGCCAAATCCAAAACAGAATGACTGAAAAAGGAAAGACTCACGTGTTTAAACCGACTGTAATGCTGCAACAGAGCTCTGCATAAACAAATGCCTGCAACCTCAATGAACTAAACAACATTGTAAAGAAGATTGGGCCAAAATCCTCCACATGGATATGAGACTGAAAAAGTCACACAGAAAATGCTAACTTCAAGTTACGGGATGTTCTAAAACTTTCACAGCCCTGCATAGAGGCCTGTGAAAACGTTCTTTTTCACATTGACTGCAGCTGGTGAATTGGTATTGCCATAGAGCCGTTCATGCACAATGAATGTACGGGTATTAATTAGTATTTGTAAATAGTTTCTCTTCTCTGGGCCTATGCAATGCTCATAGTGCTTTCTAATGGACTCGTGTGATTTCTTCCACTGTTATTGTTTATTTACTGGCATAGCCATCTGGGTGACACTGAGGGAAAAGCACTCAGCTGTACCCGCAGAGATGCAAGGGATTATGTGTTTGTTTGCTGCTGTACAGACTAGTTAGTCAGGGAGCCGAAGCAGGCTTTTTTATAAGTGTTAAGCTCTCCTTGAACTGCACATTGAAAAGGAAAAGGCCCAGAATGTGTCCCAAAGGAAGCCAAAAGATATTTAGACTTGAAGATGAGCAGCATTACATTCAGGGGATTTGCTCATTAAGAGGAGAAACAGTAAAAACTTTTGCTGCAGTGTCACCTGACCTTTTATTTTATCAGATGCAATAGGTCTGCAAAAAGTTTGCTGCTGCAGAGCTGGAGAAGATAAATTGGGTTCACTGTTGTGCAACAGTGAACATGTGTGTGGTTAAAATGCATTACTAATGAATAAATTATCACCAATCACAGAAATGTGACGGAACATTGATAGTGAAACCGCACACATGCTGAATTGTTATCAGTGCCAATCACTCAGAGCGACTTTGCAAGGTGCAAGAATTTTAGATATACAAGGTCACATATCATTTGCATATCAGTGCTTTAAATACACAGTAGAGCAAAATGAACTGCATGGCATGATCGTAAGAGCACCTCATGAATACAGGTTAAAAAACTGCTGTTTTTAACTCTGGATATCTCTGTTCAACCAAAACCATATGCCCACCATGCATGAATCACATATGTCTGTTTCTCATTGCCTGGTTGCAGCACAACTAAGTAGCTAGAGAGAGCTTCTCAAGGCCTTTTAATGTTTTGAGAGCAACAGCTTAAAGGTCAGAAGTTCAGGACCAATCGGGGGAAAAAAGGAGGTTTGTGTGAGATGAAGTGCCGCCGTGACGATTTATGCTTCACTTCTCCCGCCTAACAAACTGAATAGAAAACTTGGAACAAGTAGTGCATTTTGACCATTAGTAGCCGGGAAGTAG